GTGAAAAATTAATCAATAAATATTATTTTACAGTTATTACAACGCGATATTCTTTTTTTTTCATTAGAAAATAATTTTAAAAGTAACAGATATAGCACTAGCATGGAATAATGAAAAAATAAGCTTGAAAAGAATTCAGGCAAAAATACAGTGATATTTTCCTCGGATTATTTCTTGAACTACTCCTTGGCATAGTTTGTTCACTGTATTACTTAGCGCAATTCTTAGAATAATTGGACAAAGCTTTAATGTGAAGTATAAAATTTGCGTAAGCTATATGTTTACTGAACCTATGATTTAACAAATTTGGATGGATATTGAAATACTGATATTATGTGGACTGAATGAATTTAAGCTGAAAATAAATTTTTCGTAGCATATTTGCTTAGTACATTTTGTCAAATAATATGAAATGTCAAGAATTTAGTAATTTAGTATATGTCTTTTTGTTGCTTCATTTTGTTTATAATTCACAACATATTGTCATAAATAAAATTCAAAAATTTAATTATTTGGATAGAAAATTACTTTGCAAATTGAAATTACTTACTATAAGTTTCTGAAAAATTAAGTTTGCACTGTCTTACAATTTGTATTTATTTTACTTTCATTATATTTGCTCGTTTAATGAATATTTGAACACTACTATCTTTACACAATTTAATAAGAAATCTGAAAAATGAATGAGATAGTTTAAAATGCTTTTGATCTGCCATATGAAAGATCAGTTTTGTGATTGTTTCTGATGAATAAAGTTCAAATAGCAATGTTTAAAAACTGAAAAAAATTATCGAGCTACTTAAACAAAATGATTGCTATCATTTTTGAAGCAGCAATATTACCAGCCATCATCCATACCCATGAATCGTCTACGCCAAAATCTTCTACGTGCCCAAGGCCCTCCGCCCCAAAAACGCCTTCTGCCCCCAAAAGGCCCTCCACCACCAAAAGCTCGTCCTCTTCCAAAACTTTCACCTTGAAACCAACTTATTGGACCCAGTGAAAAACCAGCAAACCTATGACCAAAACTTCTACCAAATAATTGACGCCTAAAGCGATATCTAAAAAGATTTTTAAAAATTTTTGTCTTCTGAAATATTGTTTGAGAAGTATACATACAAAAAGTTATTAAGAAATAAATCCTGATTAATTAAAAAGTGAAATTAACGAAAACAAAACATATTTACAAACCAACACTGTCATGCATTCTTTATTAGCAAACATTCATTTTAATTTATAATAAAGTCTACAGTGAGATTTATTCAAATCACTATAGACTTTATTATCAATTAAAATTAGTGATTGCTACTTATTATTCATGACAGAAATGCTTTTTATCCATTTTAAGGTTTTGGATAGAACAAAAAAGTCATGCATAAATATTAATTTTTAAAATAAAATACCTTAAACATCAAAATGAAACATAAAAGTGAATGATTAAAAAAAAGTAAAAATTCAAAGGTCTGAATTAAATGAATACAAATTAATTACAGAAAAAAAATCAACCTATCTCTTTCACTTTTCTTCAGTTGACTTTCCAAGCATATCACCATACTGATAAGGGTAATGAAGACGATTGTTGAAGATTTGTAGTACTTCATCATACGTAAACAGTTTGTCAATTATTCTAACAGTGTTATGAATTATCAATCGAGATGAATTCAATTTAGATAAATCAACATGAATAATTTGATTATTTTCAACGTATTATGAGATTCAAAAGTGAAAGTCAAACAATTCGGTTCTATAAATATTCAAAAACCTGTTGCTTGAGCTGTTTACATGCTCCACTCTAGTGCTAGTTTTAATAATTTAACATTTTTCTGAAGCGTATAAAATCAGCTTCTTAAAATGTGACATTACACAAATACTATGCCTTTTGCTCACCAACGAAAGAAATTTCCCCAATTGTGCATAACAAACTAATTTATTTACTTATTTATTCTATAATTATTTAATGAACAAAATATTTGCTCAGTCACTTCATGAAAATTTAGCTCACCAAAGTTTCTGACATTATTAATTGCAATTTTTACTAACAGGCAATTTTTGAATTAGGCATATTAGAAAATTGTTGAACTCCATAATGACTCATTTGTTCTTCTAAGTATTTCTAAAAGGATTTTATAATTTAAATAATGTAATTGTAATTATGTTGTGAACACACAGCTGAGAAAAACAACTTTATACTTTTCAAAATAACTTCAAAAATAATTTAAATTTTTGTTTGCAAACTATTTTTTTCATCAAATTTATTATATTTGGTTTTCAGAATGCAATTACCACGGAGGACCGAATCTTCCATAATAATCATCCAAGCCAACCCTTTTACTCCACAAGCGCCCCTTCATCATCATTCTCGGTCTTCTGAACAGACCCATTTCTCTAATGTAATTTGTCGGTTCATTCCACCCTTTGCTATATGCAGACCAATCAAAACTTCCACCAGTTCTAAGTTGCCGTTTTATTCGGTAGCTGAAATCAGACATATGAGTAGATGTCACACTGAGGAGCAAGATTTCTGTATTTAAAGTACTTCTGTATAGTTTTTGGCAAAAAAAAAAGTGCAAATAAAATTTTAATTACAATAATAAAAAATCATAACTTTACTTTCCTGTTTGTCCGCCTGACACTTCAAGAAAGAATGCACATACGCCAAGACAGACTACTATCAGAAGGGTTCGTATTAAAGTAAAATGAGTCATCTGGAAATTATACTTTACAAATAATGTAAATATGGAACAAAATTTTAATTCTTTCTGCAGTTACAGTTCAAGCCGTATACATTTGCTCTTGATTTGATCTTGATTTGATTTTGATCTTAGGCTGCTTACTTTTTATAAATTATCTAAAAACATACCAAAGGCAGCAAATTATTTTATTGAATTTTTCAGAGTCAATCAAATAGAATGAATATATGTACAAAAATAGCTTGTTGCTTTTCATTTTTAAAATTTAAAATTTTTTTAATTTTTGGAGTTTTTGAACTATTTTTGAAGATCACACAATTTTTTTGCATTCTTTTTCTTTCTTTTCATAATGAATAATTTTTGAGCATTCAAGTATTCAAGTACATAATCAAAGTGACAAAAATTTTTATTAATTAAATTCAAGTATTAACAGACATCACTATTATGTATTTTTATTTTTACAACTGTTTTTGCAACGATAAAAAAATGAAATGATACTGAATTGTATGTGAAAACCAGAAAAAAACAATTAAATGTCTTCACTGCAAGTCGCAATTTCTTCGTTTTTGTTTGTCCCAAAATTACTTCTAACCTTTTTTGGATCGCAAAATACTAAATAAATAGTTAGCTGCTTTTTCATATCTTAGAATCAAGTACGACCTAATAATTAATTAAAAGAGGATAAATGATAAAATATAATAAATTGCACTGATATGGGCTCACTTTGTATATGTTTGCCAATAAGATTGCTTAACTTTTCGCTTTACACCGATGACTTGTTTTGACAAGATTTGGTTGTCTGATCGTTTGCAATCAACCAAACATTAATTAATTAATTGCTTATTTGTCTGAATTTGCACAAAGGTGTTTCAAGTTGTTTTTGAAAAGTCATGCGCGTAATGCATTTTCAATGATCACCATAATTGGAAAGTGAACAAAATTTAAAGTAAACATTTTATTAAAAATTGTATAATTCTTTAATTATAATGTTTAAACAATATTAATAATTCACTATAAGCATCAGAATACTCAAGAAAGAGTGAGTATTATGTATATGCACAAATAAGTTAGGTCGCTTCATCGGCCAAAAAATCCGAAAGGTGAGCCCATCATACCTCCTCCATAGCCCATTCCTCCAAATCCTCCACCAAATCCTGAATATCGATTGAAACTGAAAAATGGCGATGAGAAACCGCTATAGCGTCCGAAAAACTGTCGCTTTGACCGATGTCTGCAATGCTTTACTTTTCTTGAAACTTATCGTACGCAGTGAACTGTGAAGATGATTACATCACAAATTTGGTAATTTATTGGCTGTGCGAATGAAATTCAGTGCGTTTTTTTCAGTAAACTGTAAAAGGAACAAAAATATATGAAATTGAGATTATTGAACGTGATGGGATCAGATGGTGAAATAGCTATTAAATAATTATTAATTAGTTAGCT